AACTGCTAAGATAGGTATAAAATATTTATCTAAATAAGTTCACTTAAATTAAATAGAAAACACATAAATTAAAAAGTTGAAAAATGAAATTAAAATTTTATCAAATTTTATCTTTTTAACTCATGATTTGCCTGATTATTTATAATTTGAATAAATATAAATATGTAAGAAAAATTAAGAATATGTAAAAGATAAATTATAATTTTAATTAGCAGCGTAAATCAATTTTCCCTCTCTATTCTCTTTGCACTGCGTTATTTCGAGACTAATCGATATCATATGATTCTTACGTAATTCTGATGATGTAAATGAAATTAAAACTCAAACAGCCAATAAAAATTTTACAGTAGTATTAATTATCCAATCAAAATGCATTGAGAACCAAAACTCAGTCAGTCTGAATTAAGATATCATTTTGAACATAACGCACTGGCCTGCTACTCTTCGGCGTAATTGGACTGCTTTCTGCTGCTTCTTTTTTACTGCAGAGTTATCAAACATTTAAACATAATGAAATAGGCACAAATAATGTGCTAAGTTGTTTGTGGTTGCAACATGTTTATTGAAATAAAATCAAGATTTAATATGCCTCGGCTGTCAGTTTCCTATTCATTGTGGTTCGCATTTCATAATTCTAAACCATCAAAATTCTTGCTCTTAATTACAGATTCAACCTTCTACGTTCTACACCATTAAGATTTCAAAGTATATATAGATATTATGGATGATGCAAAATAAAATGCAATATAAAATGCATTAAAAAATTCATCTCATTTGCAATTTGGAATGAATCACAAGAAAAAACCAAAAAACAGGAGTACGATGGCAAACTGAAAGAAAATAGGAGACAAAATATGCCAAAAACCAGAAATGAAAATGAAGTTTACGTCTTTTACTGCATCGTCATCTGGGAGCTGGTGTAACGATAGAAGTAAATAAATAAAACAACTTGTTTCTGAATCGAAAAACACACAAATTCGTTGTTTAGTTTAAACGTTTAAAATTTAAAAATAATTTTAGCAAAACAGTCAAATTAATATGTGTTTTTAGCAGTCCTTTCCCCTACAGGCTGAAGAAAGCAATGCCAAAAATGCAAGATTACTTGTTTTAAATGTAAAAACATTTGTTAAGTTATGTAAGAAATTTCATGAAAACGAAATATTGTTCACGATTTTTCATCACTGAATGAGGCTAATTAATAGCATATGGTAATCATCTTTTAATTACAGTTTTGTTTTTATCGCATGATAATTTACAGTTCAAATAATTATACAATAATTAATACATTATTACAAAATAAATATATTTATTAGTTATTGTATATTAATAGATTATCTATTTATTATTCAACAATATTAATAAATATTTTTAAATCTAGAAAACGTTATAGGAGTTAATTATAAGAATAATTAATTAGTTAGGAAAATATTTAACTAGAAATTTCTTTTCCGTGTATACGAAAAATTGGGATGGTAAAATCGCCCTTTTTTATGTAATTACTATGTAATAAATTTATATGCAACTTTTCCTATATTTAAAAGTATTTACATTTAAGCATGCTATACTTTTCTTAATTTTTTTCTGAACGTATATAACTTTTCAATCAATTTAAGTTTCAGTACATTTAATTTTTTAAAATTTATAATAAATGTATACGCATGGGTTTTTGTAGTATTGGCTTCGTGCTTTTTCTGTATTTTTTTTGTATTCTTATCTCTCGGAACCGGAACATTAGTCGCTGCACATGATTAACTCCGCCCTCAACGAAACGTTGATGATTATAGCTTTTGAAACAATCGTTTAGATAAAACTGAAACAAGATTGTCTCTTTGTTTTCATTCCTCCTACTTCAACCTTATCAAATTCTCTCTTTTATTTTCGATCTCTTTAACCAAGTCTCCTTTTAAGAACTTTTAAAATACTTGACAAATCGATCATGACAGATGAACCCCTTCGCAAACTTCTCCATTGAGATCCTTTTTTAAGATTAAAGTCATCCCGACACGCTCAATTATCCCGGACCATTTCGATTGATCTTTTAACTCTCGCCACGCAACGTCGCAGTTAACTCGTGAATTCAGATAACTGAGGGATTGAGGAGAGAAATGCGATTAGATAGAGGGATGGAAGGCACGCCGAGATCTTTTCCAAATTAAAACAACGGAAACCGGTTGTGGCAATAAGAGGAGAGCCTTTGGCTGTAGGTGAGCAGGGGCTAATTGTAGGTCACTGGGCTAAGAATGGATCCGTCGAGGACGGTGTTTTTTATTCCATGCAAAATAGACGGATGTTAGCTTGGAAGCATCCTTGAAGACGCTCTCAGAGAAGCCAATGCCAAGGCCGACCATTGCCTCTTTCTCTTCCTTTCTTTCTTTCTTTTTTTTTTTTTCTTTTTTAAAGAGCGATGCGATGCCACAAGTTAAAAGATTCTGTGAATAAACATTTTTCATCATTGTATGTTTTGAGAACACCTGCCACATTGTTGAAAAACGGTTTTGTTTATGCAATGGGAAAACTGGTTGATGCGATCTTGTTCCGTGCCCTAATTTCGTCTTAGTACAGTTTTAACAACAGCTGTGAGGTTTCTCCTGAATGAAAATTCTTAAAATTTGTTTAATACAGAAAAACACTTTTATATCCAGCGCGCGAGAATGTGTATCGGAAATTCTAAAGATATGTTCAATTTAAAATTATTCTGCGATATTGCTGTTGAACTGAATTTTATGGTTTAAGTGCGAAGAACATGATATTGAATAAAGGTAACACACAAAATGTTAAAAAAACGCCCCTTTGAACGTAATTTAAAATCTGAAACCTTTCAGATTTTTTTTTTTTTTTTAATTTTTATATTTAATTTTACAAACATAAACAGGTTTTCAGAAACCAAATCACAGATTCTAACTGCCCAAAATTTAGATTTTAATTAATGCGATGGCAGCGTTTCGTGTATTAATGTAGATTTTTTTAATTTTGGTATAAATTTACTTAATGTAATTTTTAAACTACCACGTTCAAAAATATTCAACTTGCTTCTTGCTTTCCATCCACTTTTGCGTTCTTCCTTATTTATTGGCTCATGACAGAGCGGTAAAATACCGACGTTTATTTATGTTCTCAAAAATACCGTTTACTTTAACTGCTGTTGAAAAAATTTCAAAGATGATCGTCAAGAGTGGGTTCGCTGTATTTTATTTGCTCTCAGAATTTATGTGGGAGCAACCTTAAAATGGATAAATTTTTACTGAACTCAAGTTCCGTTTTTATATTTGTAAATGTCATTTGGCATCAGTTCTTTATGCTGTTTAAAAATTTATAGGTTTATCTGTCTCTTAGAACTCGGTATGTTTCCTTCAACAAAGAAGAATGAATAAATTTTAAATTTGCCTGTGATTAAATGATAAAAATAGAATCATTTTATTTTAAAATAGCTTTAGTCGATGTAAAGATTTCCATCAAAAAGGGAAAAAAGCTTCTCTTATAAACATTAAGAGAAGAAAAAGAAATTGAACCAAAGTATTTTGAGAAATACATTGAACCCCTTTTAAACCTCCCACCCATGTTTCCAGACGAACTTGGTCTTCTGTCAGCGTAGTCGTCTTACAAAAGGTCACGTTCAGTGCCCTTTATTTACGTTTTCAAAAAATTTTGTTTATTTATGTTTAATGTTATGATTATTTATGTTTGGTGTTATGTTTATTTACGTTTTAAAAATGTTGGTCATCTTAGGGAGCTGGCCGTGATGAAATGCTTGACAGTAATTGAAATACCAAACTTGCAAGCCAGATCTTCTTACATTGCATATTATTACGGAAAATATAAATACAGTGAACCTTCTCTTCACTACCACGTCCCCCAGACAATCACCTCTGAAACTGATTAGTATCTTTAAATATGTAAATAATCTGAGTACAGAACGTGATCTCTCTAATACAACCACCTCCGCAGAAAATCAAAATTAACTGGAACCACTCGTAGTCAGCTTAAAGAGGGTTCGTTGTATCTCTGCCTAGGAGTGGAATTGTTTCATTTGGTTTTCATAATATTAACAAAATGATTTGAAATATAGTTCACTGCTAATTGTTAAATATTCGGCAAATTTATTCATCTCTTTACTTATGAATAAATTAGAGACCACTACATTTGAGGATATAAATATGAGAACAATTCAACTGCATTTTGAAACCTCCTGAGTAAAAATTCCTGAAATTCTGGTGCAAGAGTTATCGATTTTGTAATTTCAATCTTCTTGTGAATAAATGGATAAAGTGATTATCTGTTAAACACTTCTAAAAGCAACTGCTACGATTTTCACATAAAAATCTGTTTCTCGTGATGAATTTTGTACTAATGTTACTTGAATAAAGATCTATGTTCTTCGTAATTTTCTTACTTGAATTTCTTCTTAAATTCATTGTTTACTTCTTATCAAATTTAAAGTGCATATACTCTCTCACCTATTATGAAGTTTTCCAGAAAAAGTTTCTGTTTCAAAGATTAATGAGAGAAATGCAAAGGAACGTAAAGAACAATCATATAATTTGCATTTCAGTCTACTTGCTGACGTATATATGAAATAGTAAATAAGGAATTATTTCTGTAACTGTTGATAAAATTTTTGGTAATCTTTACGGAACGTATTGTTATTTTGTTTTGTTCTGTAATATTGCATTTTATTCATTCTGCTGGTAATTTTTACTCAGCAGAATAAACGATGATAATTTATAGGCAAAATTTATTTACAAAGCAGACTTTTATGCTGTACAATGTATTGAACATAGACTCACTAACGCTGTATTACCAATATTAATATTCATTGAAGTCAGTTATATACATAACAGTACAAATAATCTTGGAATTCCATAAGAGAAATTTGTTTTGCGTATAGAAAGCAAAATGTTTTACTATTTCAAGTTACATTTTCATACCTGGTTTTGATGATTTTAATGATATAAAAGTAAACATATTCATGTCTTCTGAGTTTCATCTGTTTTCCTTTGCAGGTATGGGCAAAAGAAATCGACAGTGCCCAAGACCTACAGCAAGAAGAATCTGTCCACCTACCGGCTGAACACAGAGGCGACTATGGAGCAGCAGATTATGGAAACGGTTTAGTACCTCACGGTCATGATCCATGGCCTGGTGGTAGGCCCGATATGGCTCAAATTAAAGCTCTCAACGTGAAATGCGAAAAAAATCATATGAAGGTTTATATTGAATTTGATAGACCATTTTATGGTATGATCTTCAGCAAGGGCCATTACAGCGATCCAAAGTGCGTCCATCTTCCACCAGCAACAGGTCACTTGGAAGCAAAGTTTGACATTTTTCTAGGTGGTTGCGGCATGACTAGCAGCCAAGGCAACGGGTATAATCATCCTGATCAAACAACTGGATTATACATTGAAAACACAATTATTGTTCAATATGATCCCCAGGTTCAAGAAATTTGGGATCAAGCAAGAAGACTCCGATGTACTTGGTACGATTATTATGAGAAAGCTGTGACATTTCGACCTTTCCAAGTCGACATGTTGGATGCCGTAACAGCTAATTTTTTGGGAGACAATATCCAGTGCTGGATGCAAATACAAGTTGGAAAAGGTCCATGGGCCAGCGAAGTGGCTGGAATTGTAAAAATAGGCCAGACTATGACTATGGTTCTTGCTATCAAAGATGAAGAGAACAAATTCGATATGCTTGTCAGAAACTGTATCGCTCACGATGGCCATCACCAGCCTATACAATTGGTTGATGAATATGGCTGCGTGGTACGACCAAAGATTATGAGTCCATTCCAGAAAGTCAAAAACTTCGGAGCTTCTGCATCTGTGGTTTCTTACGCTTATTTCCAAGCATTTAAATTCCCTGACTCAATGAATGTTCATTTCCAGTGTGTAATTCAAGTATGCCGATATGAATGTCCTCAACCACAATGTGCTGGAGAACTTGGTGGTGGCTACTTACCTGTTCCTAGAGACCCCTCTTATGCTGAGAATAAGGTGGTAGCTTACACCAACGAAGGCCATCCAGATGCTAATCCGCATCAGGCTTTGTTGTCCGGTTCTGATGCTGATGCTCCATCGGGTCATGTTGCTTTAGAGCATCCAGATCAAGGAGGGGATAGAGAATATGGCCCAGTATTCTTCAATCGTCAAGGAGAACAGTTACCAGCTAAAGGAAACAATATAAAAATAGGTGGCGGTTACGGTGTTGCTGGAACAGGGGGCATGCCACGTTCCATTCAGGATCACAACAGGAGAAAACGTCAAGCTAAGGAACAGATGACAGACATTCCTACTCAGAAAGTAATTCAGGTTGTTGCACCTGGAGACGTAGCATTCAGTTTACCAAATGAAGAGAAAGAGACTGTAGTATACGCAACTAGGGCAGATGGTGAGGGTATTTGCATGTCTGTACCCAGTTTCGCAGTTGGCTTAGTATTCTTGTTGCTTTTACTTGCCATATCAACCCTGGTGGCAGGGTTTTTGTTCATGAGGGTAAAACATCTCACAGCAAAAGAAGACAATTCGATTTCTTACGACAACACAGAGTTTCTGAAGGTAGCTGTGCCTATGGCCCATTGAAGGGTATAAAAATACCTCCATACTGTAGTGTGTTAGTCAAGCAAATGAATGACTTACTTTATGCCTATTCGTCTTAATTCCAAGTGCTGCTCAACCCAGACCTTTGCCAGCAGCTTTAATGATGAATAACAGACTGTTGATTTACACAGAATTACTGGCGAGATAAAAGTGAAATTGCACTTGGATATGTTTTTGGAACAGTGTATGTCATCTTCGCAGAACTCCAGCGGTTTTACCTAGTTCCTCGCTATATTTATTGTTATTTATTAACACCGTAAAATGGACTGAATGATGAATGTTCGGTTGTATTAAAGTTATCTGTGAATATAATCGTATTTTATAGAGAAATTGTTATAAAATCTAAAATATTTGAGGACAATGTACATAAAATACTAATATTTTGTAAGATCTCTTTATACGTCATCGTGAGTTTCGCTTGGGATGCTTTCCGTGGGGCCATGTGAGAGGGATTTAAGAGAAAAGGTGGGAAATTCGCACAATTTTTCAACATATTTTTCTTGCACCACGCCAGCTTTTAAACTAATATGTCTGGTTGCTTGTTACTATTTTCTTAATCTTTTATAAAATATATTTCTTAGCAACTGCTTTCCCTGTTATCCGTTTTCTGATATCTAGGTTTTTGTTTACTTTCAACCGTTATGGCAAGTTTTCCAAATGCTGTTGATGGCATTTATTGCACAAATATCCGATTTGTGATTTCATAAAATTTCTGTAATAAAACTTACAATTTCTTTAGAAGAAAGGTTATGTCAATTTTGTTTTTCATTGAAAATACTCAACGTTAACAATACTCCTACTATTCTATTTATTAAAAACTTTCATGTATTAATATTGCTTCACTAATTATAATATTCCTTCAGCTTACATATGACTAATAAATTATTTAAATATATATTAAACCACGAAGGATTTCAAAACTTTAATCTTCAAGGCTATGACTTTAAGACAGCTGAATTAATTTTTTTATAAAAAAAAATATTCTAATTCTTTAGTCTAATTAAAAGAACTTATCAAGTTTTTTTTTATATTTAAATTTGTGATTAGAGTTTAACTTATTATAGTTAATTATAATTTATTTTTTAAATTATCACAAAGAACAAAAGAGTTATTTTATTGATATACATGTGTAGTTTGTTTTTGTTTTTATATTTGATGTCTTGTTCTATTGAGACGTACAAGTACCTCGGGAAAAAACGAGAACTTGTTTGTAAATATGTATTTTGAAGTCGATATGTTATAAATAAATCTGACTAAATCATTCAGGCTTCTTTATTCAATGTTTTACAGGTATTCCAAATATAACATAAAAATATAGAATTACATGAAATTTAGAATATGTCAGCAGAACAGAAAATGTATTCTGATGAAAATGATTATTGCTATGATTTTAGGTTTCTCTGAGAAAGATGAACCTCTGATATGTTGAACCAAAGGCTTAGAATTAAAAACCTTTCAATATTCATGTATTTTAGAAATACGTATTTATAAAAAGTTGATTAAGTCAGGACACGTGACAAAGCATTTTTAATAGTGATTTATTTATTCAGATACAAAAATAAGTTTAAAAATACTTCAATTTGCAATTGTTGTTATTAAATTAATTTATACACGAAAGAAAATAAACTAATTTAAACTGAGAAACATTTCTCATTATTATTCTAATTTTGAATAAATTTAATTCACTGAGTGTAAATGCATTACTGCATATAAGAATTAAATAAATTAACAATTTTTATAAGATGCCATGGCAATCTTACATGCATGTCTAACATAAAGTGTTATGCAATGCATTTTAAGCAGATGGCATCACCAACCACTTCTCGAAGATTCTTTATCTCTTGAATAAATGTAAGTTAAAAAGAACCATTTATCCTAATTATGATCAATTAGCTTTATAGTGATGAAATGCTATTTCATACAAGAAGTGAATTAGCATCCAAGCGCGTTAAAATGCTTCTTTTATTATTATTATCTCGTGATCATTCTCTTAATGTAAGTTCAATGTAAGTGAAAATTCATGGATTCGAACCTCAGGATAAGTACAGTAATTTTTTCCAGTTTATTGGTTAGATATATTTAATGGTCTCTTCAGTGGTATCCGAGCTAAAATATGGCGGACGGGTCGCATCCGGATTTGGTTGTTTGGGTCTCGTGTTTCTATTTAATTATTCTTTAAGTAAGGAAGAATGCAAGGAATTATTGCTTTCCCCGTGCCTGTTGTCGTGGTATAAGATGTTATCACAGTTATCAACTGGAAGATCCATGGTTCGAATCTTGGCCATCATAGCTCATTTGACTTTTAATTTTCCCTTGCTCCAAGGAACTTAATAATTTCTCTAATGATGCGTGATAGTTCGATCTTTCCTTATTCCTCTCTCCAAAAAGTCTGTAAGTATTGGATCCATCTGTGCATCTTCTCTTGGCTTAATTAATAGTACGTCCAGCTAGCAGTTGGAAGAGTCATGGTACAAATTCCCGCGTGAGCACAGTGGATATTCCATACTTCCTCCAATAAAAACACAATTATATCTACACCATTTAAAAGGTCTATCGCTCAAAAGCTACAACTTGCTACAAATGAAGAATTGATAAAGAATTATTATTACCTCCATAAAGTGTATACACATAGATTAAATATTGGCTGCCATGAGATCCTCTAAAAGAGATTTGTATTACTGATTTGGATAAATTTTTATTAATGTTTATTATTCAATCTTCTGACAAAGTAAATACCCTTAAGGGGATGTACTACTAATATCACCACTTATATTTTGCACTTATTAAATTTTAATTTATGATAAAAGATTGAGATTGGTAAATTTTGTACATTCTAATCATAATTAAGATTTCTATCTTTGTAAATAAAACATTAGGCACTTTAATTTAAATACTTTTTGAAAAAGGGCATCCCGTAAAAGCAAATGTCCCTAAAATAAGTAAATAAATAACGAAATATTGAATAACTAAATTAAATAGAATTTAAGTTATTGTACGAATATGAAATGCGGAGTTATCGTTTCGACAAAAGTTTAGAAGTAGTTTATCAATTCTCTTAGGCTATGAAATAGTGATCAGTTTGAAGATATGAACTCCTCGTTTTTTAAAAAAAACTGTGGTTTCTGTAATGACATCTTTGTCACGAAATTTCTAATTAATCATTTTACAGACTCTCTGAAGATGAATAGTGGGAATTCATAAAGTATCTGTAAAGTATGCATTATGTGAAATGCTTTGTATTCACATAATTATGTGAAATCACATAATTATGTGCATTATGTGAAATCTGTAAAGTATGCATTATGTAAGTGCTTTTATTTAATTCGATCATTCAAAAGGATTGGGTGGATGTATTTTCGCCGCATACATGAAGATGCCAATGGAAGGTAAATAAAAGGTAAATAATACTCGCTTATACATTTATCGTCCACTGGCATCTGAGATATTTCCAGTACCTCAAAGGACCCACCAGCAGTCGAGCGGTAAAATCGCTGAACACTGGTGTTCGGACCTGGGTTCTATTCCAGGCGAACGGGCTGGCTGCATGGGCGTTTTCATGGTTTTCCCCATGCGTAACATGTGTACGAGTTTCTCTTAGAAAGTCCTCCACTAAGGCATCCCTTCCCTTAGGCAGATAGTTCTAGTGTGCTTTGCCATAATCAACTAAAGCCAAAAAACAAACCAGGATTTCGAAAATCGAGCAAAGAGAATGTGAAGTTACTGTATTGCAGATATTTTTTTCAATAAGATGAAGCACAGTCACATTTGGCGAATCATGTGCTAAATTGTCGATTTCTAGAATGGTTGCTCGGTAAAAATATACCTTTCCTCTGGCCACCAAGAAATTCTGGTTTTTCCTGTCTAACTTTCGCCTTTGGAACTTTATCAAAAATGAGGTTTGTGAATGAAAAACTTAATAATCTTGACCCCCTCAGCGACAGAATCATCTGTCGTACTGTAAATGGGGCACGTATTGAAACTTACTGCTAAATAGTTTTTGTGAACTTTTTTGACTGACTGAAAAATGCTGGATAAAAAACGCTTTGAACCCATTTCATCGCGCACATACTTCTCACGGACTTCTTCAGATCCTACCATTCATTCTCGGAGACCTTGTACACATCGATAAAGGAATTAATCAATTCAGGCCTATTTTGAACCACTCAAATAAGTATTATACAGCATTAGCTAAGTATAATGTAGCATTAATTCTAAAAACGAACTGGAATCAAACTTGTAAAGTACATTTAACATCTTTGTTTTTATTCATTAATTTAATATTTTGTAATACGTAGAAACTATTATTTAGCATTACAGCTCACGTTAAAAGGATTTATCTAGAACTATTATTACTCGCCTCATAGATTCCCTAAGAAAAAGGAAAAATATTACCTATTTAGAATTCATAGTTCTTAAAAGAATAAGGCATGGCTCAGTGCTTTTCGCAATTAATTTCTAAGATCTTCTTTCATAATATCGAAACCCTAAATAAGTGTTTCCTATTCCGGGAATAAATAGTTCAAAGCGTAAATTAAGCACAGTTAAAGCACACTCTTCAAATCCACAATAGACATTTCCCATTTGCAGCAAATGCAGTTGCATAGATCTTAAAAGTTGAATAGCTTACCATCAACGGCAGTTTCAAAACAAAACCCTCTAAAGAACTGACAAACTTTAAACAACAATTAATTTAATTCACAATTCGATGATTCTTTCTCATTTAATTCGTGTTATGTAACGGCTTTAAGCGCAGAAGGCAAGTAAAAAAACTAAGGATACAGGAGTCGGAGAGGAATAAGTCTTAAGGTTTCAACACGCGGAAGTGTGGTTGGGCGTCGTCCGCTTCTGGTGAATGTGAGACAAAAACAAGGCGAGCACCAGGATAATGGGCGAATTACGCTCTGCTAACTCTTTCGTTTAGGAAACAGTGTGCCCCACCTGTAGTAATGTAATTCGTCAAGCGCGAAACTTTTATGATACGTACAAAAGATGGTAAAAGGTACGATTTGTAACCGGGTCATATGGACTAGGTGGCCTTTTCAAGTAATCCAATACCCTGGTCAAGCAAAACAATACACTTTTGGTGCTAGATTTTTTTTTTTTTTTATCCTACGCCTCTCTTTCTTAGCTCTTTAAATCAGATCTGGAATAAAGATTCGGTGCTGAAAATGTATGGACAATTTGTTTTTCATCAGTCCTGAAATCTGTGAAAGTCTTAACGAGAGTTTGACCTTTGCTGCTGTTGGTACGTTTCTTTCTTTCTGCGTGATGCAAAAATTGAAATAGATTACCGATTTATTGCATTTCAAACACAAATTAATTTTAACAGTATAGATCATAGGGGCTTATATTTTCATTTCTTTTCTGTGTATTGTAGAATTAAAGGTAACCTATTTGAAACATGAATTTAATCGTGAGATATTCAGCTGTGGTTTGCGCTTTGGTTAGTAACTCTGAATACCGTAAGTGCACATCTGTATCGCCACCGAGGGAGTGGTCTTCTAGAGCGTACCAATAGGCTTCCATTAATATTTCCATCATTTCGCATGACCTTTGCCGCGCTTTAAGCAAGATAGTTGAAAATGTTTTGCTACGCAATTTCCTGTACAAAATAATTACAGCATCGGCGATTTCTTTATTTACTTATTGTCTTGCCAGAAAAGCTGTAAAGAACATTACTTTACGTAATAGTTGTGGCATTAATTGTGATGCATGATCATGTTCGTAGACGATGAGATTGCTTTTACTTTAAAACCTGTCCAATGCTCGTATCCGACATCTTAGATTTACATGTTTGGAGAAGTTTATGTTAACGAAGAATTGGTGAATATAAACAATTTTATTCTTTGCATGGAAAGGAGGAAACTGAAGGCAGATAAAAGAAGTTATGTGAAGCTTTGGTTTGGTTTATTTAATTATGGCAAAGCACTCGAAGGCTGTCTGCATAGGGAAAGAGATGCCTTCGTAGAGGACTTTTTAAGGGAAACTGGCTCGTATACACGTTACACGTGGGGAAAATGCCTCTGAAACCAGCCTTATTCGTCGATATTCGAACTCCGTCCGAACTACCAGTATTCAGAGAATTTATCGCCCGGTTTCTGATGGGCTATTATGTGAAAGGAAGCTGATGAAGAATTACAAATATTTAAGGTTTTACAAGGCAATATTCATGTTTGCAGACGCATGATGCTATGAAATTTCATTATATACATAACACATTTTTAAGACTACGGAGACAATCTTGTAGGCAGACAGAGATTA